GTTTTGAGTCAAGCTAAGTTTAGAACGATAAATATATTGTACACGAACGAATAAACTAAATTTCGTCAATCTTGTTAAATTTGGTCAAAATATCTAGAAAAACTTTATAAAATTAAGGAAATATCAAAAGTCTAAAAAATTTCGTAAAAGTATGTTTTTTCCGATTTTTCGATTTTGAACTCCCGGTTTAACGGACAACTCAGTAGTTTGTTATATGAGAATCGTGCTTGGGCATGGCCTTATCTGGGTCTCAAGTTCTGATTTTTGGAGGAAACAGGGCTGTTTCATTGTACACAGTGAAAAAAAGGTTTTGTGTTTACAGCGTCTGTTGGAAGTGAATGTATTTATTAGCGTAAAGTGTAGTGTGAGAGGATGATGGAGAAATATCGAGTACTTCACCTCCCTATTTGAGTGAATTGTATGTAAACAATGTATTTAATAATGAATGAGGGCCTGTGTAGTTTGGATCTAGGAACTGTGTGCGTCGGGTGCTGAAAGACATAGCTGTTGATAGCCCAGGAAGTCCAACCTCATCGGCTGAACACCGACCACCTAAGACCGACGATTGTCAACAACCAGGAAGATGTAAATTAAAGAAGCTGGAATTGCCGGTGGACCACAAATAATGATAGGCTCAACTCTGCACACGTGTATATATATATATATATATATATATATACACTGAGAGGCAAAAAGGTCCTCCTGATCATCTTACAAAAAAATTTGGTCTGCTTTAAAGGATTAGCGGTTAAAACACCGATAAAATCTCCCACTTGTTTTTACAATTGGATTTTGTAAATAAATCGTTTAATAGTCAATCTCTTCTTTGTTGGTTTTTCTGTAAAATTTCTTTCTACGTTTCGGTAGTTTAACTTTTTTAAGTTGTACCATTTTTAAGTTTCAAATTTGTTTGAGTGATGGTTTTAAGTGATGCAGATTCCGGTAGAATTGTTGAAAGATGGAAGAAGTCAAGGGTATATGGACAGGGTGCTTAACATTCCCAGAACAACTGTCCGAAAGGTCTTCCATTGCAAACTAGATATTGGAGGTTACTCAAGAAGGCATGGTCGCCATCGTGTCACATCTCAGAGAAATAATCCTTTTATTGTTTCAAATATACTCCGTCATCGACATTCTACTTCCGTTGAAATCAAGCAGTCACTTCAACAAGTTAGAAATCTTAATATCAGTTCACGCACTGCAAGGCGAAGATTTCAGAAGCTGGATTACATGCGAGAAGGCCTCTCACTGGTCCAGAACTTCTGACAAGTTACAGAACATCTCGGTTAAGTTTCGCAAGATTGACCTGAGCAAGATTAGACTAAAATCTTATTTTCGGATGAGTCAAGGTTTTGTTTGGTTGAGGTTTTCTGAAGGGCCGAGAGAGAGAGGGTTGGAGTAGAACAGGAGACCCGTAAATCCTCGCAACATTTTCAATCCGGAGAAGCTATGGAGATGGTGGTGTTATGGTTTGGGCAGGTATTTCTATGGACATTCGCTTGATCTTTATCGATGGTTCCCAAAGAGCTCCGTGATACATTGAAGTTGTGTTATCAGAAGAAGTTGTAATTAGCGAGGGTTTTATTTTTATGGATGGCAATGCAAGGCCCACACAGGATCGTTGGTATCTATTTGTAACGAGGTTCAATGCAATGTTTGTTGTGGCCAGCATTGCAGTCCCTACATAAACCCTATCCCTTTGGAACGAGTTGTCAAAGTAGATAAAAAGTCGCCCGGTGATGCTAGAGAATTTGCAGGTATTAGGAATGGCGCTGTGGGAGAAATATGAAAACATTCCGCAGCACTAAATTCAAAACTTCATAAAATAGACGCCACGTCGAATGTAAGCGGTCATCAACTCGATTCAGTTTAAGTTTTTATTTAGCTATATCTTATATTTTATTTAAAAACATGAAGTAAACAACAAAACATCAAAATTATAGCGATTGCAAGTATTTACTAAAAACCATCCAGGGCGTCCACTTTATTTTTCCCTATCAGTGTATAAATGTACATATATAAGCAGATTTGAGCTTATGTATAACATCAATAGTTTTATTATTAAATTACAATTAATTAAGGTTTTTAGTTGAGATGAAAAAAAGTTAATGGCACGAGCGGGATTCGAACCCACGATCTTCGGCTAGATACGCCGCTGCTCTACGACGACAAATGAAATGGCCACGGATTGCTTTAGTGAAGTGTACTTCATTTTAATCATTAAATTCACTAATTTCGTGGTCCGCTTGACCAATTAATATATTACAACTAATTAAGGTTTTTAGTTGAGATAAAAAAGTCAATGGCACGAGCGGGATTCGAACCCTAGCACACTAGCTTCCCATCTCAACACCACGTTTTGAATTTATCTTACGTATCTAGCCGAAGATCGTGGGTTCGAATCCCGCCTGTGCCATTGATTTTTTTATCTCAACTAAAAAACTTAATTAATGGTAATATATTAATAGGTCAAGCGGACCACGAAATTAGTGAATTTGATGATTTAAAATGAAGTATACTTCACTAAAGCTCTCCGTGGCCATTTCATTTGTCGTCGAGAATCCAATCAGATTACACGACATTGAAAAATGGCAAAAAGGACGGAAAACTCATAAGGTGGGGTTGAGATAGGAAGTTGATGTCCGAGTGGATCGAGGTCACTAATAGCTCAAGTGGTAGAGCAGCGGCGTATCTAGCCGAAGATCGTGGTTTCGAATCCCGCTCGTGCCATTAACTTATTTTCATCTCAACTAAAAACCTTAATTAATTGTAATGTATTAATTGGTCAAGCGGACCACGAAATTAGTGAATTTATTATTAAAGTGTTCACAATTTTCAGTTATCTATACATTTTCTAATTTGCCAATGCAATGGCCCTAATAACTTCCCTACAACACTCAACGTAAGAAAATCTTGATCTTTCTTTAAAAAAAAAATTCCCCATCGGTGAAGCCAAAGCCGGGATACCGAGACGAAACGTGTATCCCGGACGAAGTCCGGTATCGGATTCAGGGAATCACAAGAAGTACGTATATCGTTACACGTTAAGTGACGAAGAAAAGTTATCACGATCTCAATTTAAAAAAAAGATGATTAATAAAAGAAAAAGTTAATATGTAATGAATCATTGCCGGTACACAATGATATTTGGATCATTCAAGCCAAAATAACCAGACTTAGTGACATTTCTTCGTGGTCTACGGGAAGAGCCCTCATGTCGTTTCCGATAGTTTTGGTCTGACAGATCTGCCGGATGTCTTTAGGCCTTTCGCCATCTTCAGTGATGGTATCAAGGATACACGCAGGGAGAGGCAGGGGCACATACAGGCCAACACTGGAGTCAGTTAAATGCCAAAACACTTCTAATAGACCAAAATGTTTGGAAACTACCAAACTAAAACTATTGATGGCTTTGAGCTTGTGGACGACTTTATTATGAACTATTTATTCATGGAATGATATAAACCCTCTGTTATATTTATATATATTTTTTGAAAAGTACGTTATTAATCTATCCAAGATTTTTACAAAAAAAGTGTTAAAACGGTTTATGAAAAAGATAATCTACCCAGCACAACGAAGTTTACATAAGATTTTTCAAGAATACTTTCCATATATTTTGCCCATTATACGATTTTAATTAAGTCCCTCCAATTGTTTGAAAGTTTAAGTTTATAGAATTTTTGTTCTCTTTAGCTCTCCCATTTTTATACATGTTTATATTCTTCTTTATAAAGATATTTTCATGAAATGATCGGTTATTTTCATTTTTTGAATGAAGACAAATTAAACAATACAATTTCATGGTTTCTGGGGAGCTTTATTTTGGCTAATACAGATGTTTCTTGAAATATTGCAGACTACACCAACCAACTTTTGTTTTTAATGGGACCGTATTCCTTTAATCCATATTTTTTTAATAGTGTCTAGTCTTCTGAAGACATAAAATATAAAGAATTTTTTGAATCGAACTTGTTTTTCAAAATTTATTCTCAATTTCGTGCGAAAAATAAGGCCTCCCCTATAACACCACACCTGCTTAAAAATGTCTCAATTTTAAGTTAAAAATAAAGGCTTAATTAAGAAAAATTAAATAAAATAAAGACTACTTGTTATGAAAGTGTTTTGGTTGTCTACGTCCATGGAATAGAGTGGATCAAGGTAAAAAATAAATTTTGACTACACCCTATAGAATAAAACAACAACAATATTATCAATACATGATAGTATAGTTTCTATATTTAACCCTTTTTTCAAGAACAATTTTATTACAACCTGTTGGCAAGGATTGTCGTTGGTTTTAAGCCGAAGGTTACTTATTACATTTTTCCCACCTTTCATTACAGAACTACCGACAGACGCAATAGTCGATAGCTTTTTAATTTATTTATTAATACATTTTTATTGGTAATTTAGAAATAAATAAAAAAGTGTTTCTGTTTTTAACGTTTTTAGGGGAGCAGCTTATTTTTCACGCAAAATTGGGAGTACATTTTGAAAGGAATGTCCGATTTAAAAAATTCGTTTTTTTGGTTTTCAGGGGTCTAAACACTACAAAAATTGTGGAAAAAGTCATAGGGTCCATTTTGAAAAAAAAAAAAAGAAGAAAAAAACATGCATGTTTGGCATCTGCAATATTTGGAGAAAAAAATCAATATGTATTAACCAAAATAAAGTACTCAGACACCATGAAATACCTGTTTAAAAAAAAAATTTTTGCCTTCATTTCAAAATAGTGAGTCACTTAACCTACCCTGTATGTATTGTGATGTGGCTTGATCTGCGTCTATTGCCTCATGTATTGGGGTGATAATGCCATGTCGAAATGTAAGAGAGTAAGGTGTTTATCAACCGGTATTGCACACGCGTTTCGATTCGTTTCGACATACTTTCCATGTATAATCTATTAGAAAGTGTTGGACTATTTCATTTCTTTTTACTTGTAAGAGGCTCAGGTGATGGATAAAATGAGAAGGAGATGGATTCGTAACGATACTGACCCCTTCCGCTCCGTCCGACGAACCTGAGATCGTTGAATTTGGCCACTTGGTTCTTCATGACTGCGGTGCAGTTCCTCAGCTCGGCGCAGTAGTTCTCGTCGTTGCCCGCCCTGACGGTGACGACCGTCCCGTCCATCACCTCGCCGAGGGCGACTACTTTGAAGCCGACGGGCAGCGTCTTGTTGGACCTCCAGTGGGACGGCAGTGCCGAGCAGAGGAAGTACGGGCTGCCCGTCCTCACCAGTTCGCCCGGGTGTTCCGCCTGGGCTTCCGTGACGACCCGTTCCGTCCACCACAGCTCGCCGCCTGCAGCAGAAACGTCTCGCCTCCTTTTCTTCGAGTCGGAAGTCATCACACATCACGCGCACGAGGCGACTCGCCCTACACTGGATCGACGGCTTCGCCCCTTCCTCCGGCCGGCCGACCCACCCATCTCCCAGCCCATTGGTCCTCCTTCCCTCAAATCCGCAACGGCAGCACTCCCACCAGCTTCTTTCCATCCAGGTTACCTTCACTCCATTGGACACCGCAAATTATCTTTTACCAATTTACCGTCCAGGGCTATTACATGCATTTATCTTGCGCAAGTAACGATCACCCATGAAATCCTCGGCCCGAGACCTACGAGAAAAAAATTGTGCCCACTACATGTTTATTTGACGCTCCTGCAAATTTTCTGGCTCAAACTATAATAATTAAAGTTACATTTCACCTCCATTAACAATTCACAACTGCTGGGTTTACCCCCTGATTTATATTTATTATAGAAATATCAGCTTTTCTTTTTATATTTATTTATTTGTTTCCCTCTGTCTTAATTCTATTCATACATCAACGTCTACAAAGAAAACAAACAACTATAATTAGGGAAAAATTAGAACTTTCTGGCAAGTAAGACCAAACCAAACCTACTATAAAAAGTAAAAAAAGGCAACGATTTCTGTGATCAAACAGAATCACGAACACTTCGGATCAAGGTATCCGGAAAAAAATTGCTTGAAAAACTTTGAAAAGGTGGAATCTCAAAACCAAAAGAACCATGTTAGTTAATCTTCCGGTGACCTTTGACATTGGTTCCAATTGCTCGAAATTAACATATAACGTAGCCAATTGGAAGGTAAATTTTGTAAAATCTTTCGTCCCATAACTTATTAAAAAACTCAATTCTGTAAATAGTATTTATTAATTTGTCCTTGTTTGATATAATAATTAATGATAAATAATTTCTTGTCTTGTAGACAATAGACAATACATTTTATTTGTTTTAAACCCGAAGGTTATCCAAAAGATTTTTTGTCGACTTTTACAACTTATATATTATCACATTAACAGATAAGTAACAAAGCAGTTACAGTTTAATTCTTATACATACTAATTTGTCTTCCTAAAAAAGTTAAATATTTCAAAATACTCTTTTAGGAGTATATAGAAGGAACGGAATATAACACAACCCTACAAGAAACTATTCGATGTTAAGAGGACATCTAAAAAAATATGTGGGGTGTCAGCTTCTTGCAGATCTCAAAGTTCCGATGAATGCCTGTATAGAATATCCCTTTAATTATTATTGTAGTGAAATAATTTTCACTCGTCTTAGCTTGGCTGATGACACTGGCGACCTGGAATGGGATCTTTTCTTGGAGATATAAGTCAGGGGCTGCAGTGAAAACATTCTGCATTCTTTGAATATTGTGTAACGTTGATACAAACAAAGCTTCTTGGTCTAAACCTCTTAGTTTTTCTTTGTACCTTTATAAGATAATTTCTTTATTTATGGGGATATCCTTGGAATTTGATTATTCCGTATTACCTGATGTCTCAATTCTTTAAACATGGTTTTGATATGAATAGCCAAGTTATTTTTCAACTTTTTGCCCGAGTCATCAGTTCTCTCAAGAGCAACAAATCTTTCAGAGCTAGATTATTTTTCATCGTTCATTTCCAAAATTTGGCGCCACCATTTCAGCATCATTGCTAACAGAGTGTAGCAAAAAGATATTAGCCCGAATTCCATCCATACCATGATTTAGTAGTTTTCAATTCCATCAAGTGATGTATTTTTAAAATAGATACATCCCCATATTTTGGCTCCATACAGCAGCGAATTATGAGTTATCACGGTGCATAATTTAAGCCTCAAGTCCATGTAGGAAGCGAGGCTGGGCCCTAGGATATTAAGCGTAATAAATATGTAATAAATAAATATGTGAGCGGTTCTCAGCTTATGCAGATCTCTAATAGAGCATAGTTCTGATGAACGCCATTTATTTTGAAACGCACAATTTAACAAACAACTGGGCTATTCATGTCAAAACTATGCTTAACGAACTGATATATAAGTAATTATCGAGTAATCAAGATTCCAAGGATATCTGCACAAATATGTAAATTATGTTATATACGTACAAAGAAAAACTAAGATGTTTAAACCTAGAAGTTTTGCTTGTATCAAGGTTACACAATCTTCAAAGAGCGAAGAATGTTTTCACTGCAGCCCCTGACTTATATCACCAAGGAAAGGTCTCATTCCAGGTCGCCAGTGTCATCAGTCAGATCAAGAGGGTGGGATTTATTTCACTGAAATAATAATTAAACGGATATGCTATAAATGGCGTTCATCAGAACTTTGCTCCATTTGAGATCTGCAAGAAGCTGGGACCCCACATATTTTATGTTGATCAAATTGCTTCGAATTGCTTCTTGTCAGGTGGTGTGATGTTTCGTTCCTTCTAACGGCCTGTTCCATAAAAGAATATTTTGAAATATTTAACTTTTTAAGGGAGACAAATTTGTATGTATAAGTATTTAACTGTAATTGTTTTCTAACTTTTCTGTTAATATGATAATATGTAAGGTGTAAAAATAGAAAAAAATCTTTTGTATAACATTCGGGTTTAAAACAAATAAAATCTATTGTCTATTGCCTACAAGATAAGGTGTTATTTAGTTGAAAAACAATCGAAATAGTCATTAACCTCACATAAATGTTTTAAAAATGTTTTACTAAATGTGTGGTGATTATGACCGTTAATCGATGATTATTCACTTTGAGCCCTGAAGATGATCTCAATAAAGATCGAAACGTTGGCACGATAAAGAAAATGTTTTTCTGACACCCACATCACATCAGACCGCATCTCACGATCTGTGAATAATCATCGTTTTACTAAATCTTCTTTTATTCACCAATCGTTATCATATAACTTTATAAAAATTCATTAAAGTTTATACAAAGCATATGCCCGGTACTTTTTGAATTTTTAAAGTTTTGCAAGCAATTTTTTTAATATTTTCTAGTTTCACATTATAAAATTCAAGAGAACAATATTTACATTACGCGATTTCACACTTTTTGAGATTCAACCTCTCAGGAACAATTTTATTACCATTTCTAATGAAATGGCTGTGCATAACTTTAAATTTGTTACTAAACTGGAAAAAAACACTAGAAAATGCGGAAAAGTTGCTTTCAAAAGCAAAGAAATCAGATGCCTTGGTCAATCCAGTCAGATCAACTTGCCATTTTACAAACTGAAGTGACTAGATATCAAAGAAAGCGAGTTTTTTTTAAATAAGTTATGGGACAAATAAAATTTTACAAAATTTACTTTTCAATTAGCTACGTTATATGTTAATTTAGAGCAATTGGAACCAATGTCAAAAGCCACCAGAAGATAAACTACTTTTTTCAAGTTAAGTTGTTGAAGAGTCGAAACATAGGATAAAGATTATTAAAAATTATTCAGAAATCGTGAGATGTGGTCAGGTGTGATGTAGGTTTCAGAAAAACATTTTCTTTATCGTGCCAACGTTTCGATCTTTATTGAGATCATCTTCAGGGCCTGGGATCTCCGCCCGACTTCCTTCCCCACTCCTTCAAAATCGAACATATATAGACATAAATATCTCACTGGCGCTCTCAACACGACACGCAAGAATGGCACAATTACACAGAAGACAACACTTTGAGTGAGTAGAAATACTTTGATTGAATGTAGAATATATTTTGCATTGTATAAATTCACTTTTTCACCTCCTAAATGTATTTGCTAAATGTAAACAATGTTTGTAAATCCCAGGCCCTGAAGATGATCTCAATAAAGATCGAAACGTTGGCACGATAAAGAAAATGTTTTTCTGAAACCTACACCAGACCGCATCTCACGATTTCTCAATAATTATCGATTAACGGTAACTAATCACCACACATTATTAAAAATAATTCAATTTTGTTGTGATTTCTTGTCCTAAAGCCAAGTGCATGTTGTAAAAATGTTTCCAATGTAGTGCCACAACTCAACATTGCTTACATTATTATTATTATTATTTTAATTGTTCAGATAGAATTACTGTTATAATTCAAAAGGAAACTTGAAGCATGGTTCAGTATGTAGCATGGTTAAAAATGATGCAAAACCCATAAGAAAAATATTCGTATATGTACATGAAGAGCATGGCCAAGTCGTTAAAAAATATTATAAGAATCCTAGACCCAATATTTGATAAGTTTGAAAGGGCATTACCGATCAGATCTGAACATTAATAGCACCTTAGAAAAACAGGGAATGTCCCAATACTTTTCTGATATATCTGGATGAACCAATTTGCCATTTTACAAACTGAAGTGAATAAATAACAAACAATAAACAAATACAATTTAGAGAATTGAGCCTTTTAATAAGTTTTGAGTCGAAACATTTTACAAAATTTAACAACTGGCTAAATTTAATGACAATTGGAACCATACTAAAAAAATTAAACAAATGTCAAAAGTCTCCGGAAGACAAAAATGCCACGTTTCTTTACATCAGAATGAAGTTATTGAATAATTGTGACATAGGATATACATTATAATTCATATAATTCAATGTTGATGTAGTTTATTGTTGCTTCTTGTTGCTTAAACCAGAAAGTAAACAACGTTCCCAGCGCCACAACTCACCTCAGTTTGTGATTATTATTATTATTGTTATTTTTGGTTTTTAATTATTCAGATAGATTTATTGCCGTAATTAAAACAATATAAAAGAAGACATAACAGACCTCGAATACGTTAAATGATTTAATAAGTTTGCAAACATACATACAAACCTGGAAAACATTCCTGTATTCCAGTTTTCCGAGGTTGATGAGGATGTTACCCTGACATAAATCTTTGTAATGTGATTATTAACATAAAAGTTTTCTTTTTAATTTTTAATGCAAGCATAATGTTTACTCTATTTATTTGGAAAGTATCTTCATCCCTGTAGAGATGTAAAGTAGATATAATCAAAATAATTCGGTTCCAGAAGAAGAGAATCATAAAAGAAGCATAAAAGATATATCTTGAGCTTTGAAGTTGAGAAAAATCATGGGTGTTATTAAGCTTTT